ACTGAGCTTGGGGGCATAACAGGAGAAGGCCCTGTCACCCATAGAATGTAGATGGGTTTGGGGGACAGTAAGGAGACCAGAATTAGAAGGCAAAGGTTGCGAGGTGGGGAGTAGGGCGATAATAGTTCAGACAGGTACTGAGGTGCCAAGCCATGCAGAGCCTTATAGGTGAGCATGAGGATTTTAAAATCCACATGGAATTTGACAGGAAGCCAGTGCAAGGACTCCAGGATAGGAGTATTGTGAACACTTGCACTAGACCTGGTCAGTATTCTGGCTGCCGAATTTTGGACGTACTGCAGTTTGTTCAATGTAGATTTGGATACCCCAGCAAGTAGAGCATTACAGTAGTCAATTCAAGAGAACACAAATGTGTTCATCAAGTTTTCAGCAACAGTTGGTGATAACATAGGGCGTAGTCTAGCGATATTTCTGAGGTGAAAAAAATATGTTTTGACACTATGTAGCACATAGTGGGTCGAATCTTAAGCCAGAATCTAATATCACTCCAAGATTTTTCAATTGAGACTGAAGCTCAATAATATATATATATACACGGCTCACTAACTGAGTTATCCCAGCTGCCCCCGAGTAATCCTGGTCAGTGCCAGTGACTGCTGTATGTCTGCAGACCTCAAAGGTGCCTTCACATTGGGATGAATCAGTGATCAATGTCTGAAAGACATTGCTGGTAAAAAAAAAAGAGGACACTTCCATAAATACTATTCATGTCCCTAAAAGAATCTAGTGACTAACAGCGTGTCACAGGAAGGGTGCCAGTCTGTGAAATCGTGTGAAGCTCAAGAGGCTGTCTCCTCTAATAGAATTGTTCTAATTCCATTTGTCTCTGCCTGTGCACTCTGTACCGCTGTTAAGTAGGGGAAGCTGAACTGTCTCTTTCTCCTGTATCTGCTTGCAATCATGTCGTCTTACTGCTGTGTGTGTTCTTCCACCACATTTTACTGTTATTGTAGATTTACTTGACTAATGTGTATATACTTTATTTAGTTGCTTTAAATATATATAAATAGGAAGCTAAAGCCATAAATTGTAATCCAAAGTTCTACATAGGGATGTAAAATACTAATGTTGCCAATTAGGAAATTATATGTACAAGAGCCACTTGATTTGCTTAGACCTTTATGTGATGTCTCAATATTACATTATTAAAATATCAAAATATACTCGGATATAAAGTAATAGTTGTTCATATTTCCTATGGTTAAATATATGCTCATGTCCCTGATTTGCAAGTAACAGGACTCTTTCTGTTCACTGAAGGGAATTGTGTTTGAGGTGTTCGGCCAGCGCTTGAATTGGTAGAGATTCCATCTTTTTTGACAGTTCAGAAGCAAAGCTTTTGTGACAGTCTGAGTGGAAACAGTAATGACTGCTTGTCAGATCCTGTCCGGTCTTTATTTCCCACGGGGTTGAAGAATGGACAGGAGAGAAGTTGCCGTTCACTCGTGCAGCAGAGCAGACTGAACTTTTGCAAGCGTGTGTCTTGCTGGCCCACAGCCTATCGCAGGATTAATTGTGCACAAGTAGGTGCAGCGCAAGGTGCACCAAAGACAATCACTGGGGAGGCTTGTGTCCCGTGCAATGTGCCGCTGTAGAATAAGAGCACCTCTTGTGCAGGTTAGTCTTCTTTTATTGCCGTGTAACCCATTCACTTATCACTTATCTGTCAATAAATTACTCTCCTCAAATTGTTTTCTGTTTCTTTGTTTCCTTTGTGTATGCTGTTGTGATTTTAAATCTGCTGTACTGAAAGCTCCTTTGAAGTAACGTCGTTCTGTGACCACTAGAGGTCGGTGTTGTTTTATTAAATGAGCTATACTGCCATGTTGGGGATTGATGCTAAATGTGCGCTAATAATGCTCTTATACGATAAGATCACTTTATTGGCCATATACAATCTCTTGCATTAGGAATGTGTCTTTTCGCAGACCCCATCTTGCTCTCCATGAGACACCCAGACAGGGAGAGAAGCTGGGGGTCTGAGCGCAGGGTTCAGAGCCATTGAGAGCAGTGTGCTGAAGGTAATAGACCATTTTATTCATACACATCTACTGTGTCCAGACTTTTTTTCTTATGGAAGGGGGGTGGGTAAGAATTTCTCACTTTTCTAGCTGAATGACCCCTTTTAAAGCAATTGCCTTCATTATATGAACCCCTTACAAAATATATGTGTACAGTTCTTCCAAAATGCAGGGATTGATTATAAAGCATTAAGAACCGAACTCCAGATGCAATGTAACTCTGCCAGATTTATAACTGGGTTTAGGATTGAGCATAAATATTTATCTCTGTTTTTGGGTACCCATTTTAGTAGTCCCCACTCCCCACTCCCTTGATTATGAACCATAGTTACGTATGCAGCCCTTAAATCCCCCAAAACTACACAATTCATCATTGGGAATCCCTAATACCCTACGGGACTATTCTGCTCAGTCCCTGGCACTTGATCCCTTAAAAATCAGAATTTGTTTCTCTTGAGCATCATTGGAATAACTTATTTTCTGAATCTGACAAGATCTTAATTTCCTGCAGTACTGTACTGTGACTCGAACACCAGGGCTGGGCATCCTTGAGCCCACTTTTATACAGGCAGTTATAAATGGATATACAGTGGTAAATACCACAGAAAAACCCCCGTGTGACCTGTGCAGAAATAGCCTGCCAGCAAAAATACAAAAGTTGTTATTTCACTTCCTTCCACAAGGGGGTGATCTGTTCCCACCAAATGCCAAATCCTTGTCAAAATCTCAAATATCAGAAACTTTGTGTAAAATGTCTCTGCTCAGAGACCATCCAGTATTGTGTTGTATTTACTTTCACAGACTACGTATTTGTATCCACGATGTAAGTCATTACATTAAGAGTAGTGAAACACTTTAAGTACAGGTCTCTCGTTTCACAATAATAACTATTCAGAATTGACCTCTTTTCCTAGAATAACATATTCAGGACACGCTGGAAGAAAATGGAATTCACATCTTTTGTCTTAGATTTGTCTACTTGCTAAGATGGGAGACCTGCTAGCAAAGACCACTGCCAGCAAGCAGGTCTAATTTTGTTTAACAAGCAACACATCTTACACCACATAAATGAGTAAATAACAAGCTGAAGAAAGAGGATGCCAAGTTCGTTTGTGTATTTTTAAAAAAATATGTCACACATACCGAAAGCTAGATCATTTATAGTTCTGTGTGTTTGGGCTGTACATGTGTTTATACATTTCAGGAGACTGTAAAACGATTGGTAAACTTTATAAAAGACTCCACAACAGGGAACATACACAACATATCTCCCACATCCTGAACCCTCCCTCCAAGCCACGCACCATACATACCCAAGTAGCCGCGGGTTTGCTGCCAAACAGCTCCGGAGATGAAATCGCACTGAACTGCTAGCAGTTCAGTCCAATAAAAACCTGGACCGGTCAGCGCCGGCACTGGGATTCTGGGCAACTGGAACTGGAGGGTCTATATAAGTAATAGAGGAAAATGCAAAATCCAAAAAGGATCTTTTTCTGCTGCTCTGAAAGAGCAGGACTGGAGCCATTCGGCAAGATTCAAATCAGTTAAATGACCGAGTGAAAACCCGAGTAAAATGTTGCATAACAGACTCATATATAAAATTTAATTGATTGTGCAGAAGGCAAGGAGATTGTGTGGAAAATCGAAATGTAATATCTACTCAGTACACTGGGGAGTTCTACTCTCCTACAGCTGGGGCTTGTCACTGCTAGCGCACACTCAGGCAGGAGAGAGAACCACTTCTAGCATCAAAAAATGAACCGGCATCATGACGGCCATCACTCTGGCTGCCATCGCATCACCCAGGTGGGGCTGCACACTGGAGGGGGTGGAGGGGATCCCCATTACCTGTAAAGCGCTTTGAGTGGAGTGTCCAGAAACTTCTCTCTACAATTATTTTTTCCAGCCACTGAATACTATCTGTTTGTTCTGATTTTGGATCCCCCAAAAAAGCAGGTGAGACAGGGACTTGTGACAGGAGAACAGAGAGAGGTGAGAGACTAGGAGGTGCTGTGGAGCTGTTTTCCTCAATGTTTTACTCTGCGCTCTCCCTGAGCCCTCAAGACACTCACTGGTCTTAGGGCAGCAGCGTTCCAGGTCTTTTGTAGATCTGTCTATGTCCTCTTCAAGACATTGTGAGGAAGCAATTCAAACAGAACAAACAGAAAGCTTGGAGATGTAACAGAAAGTGACAAGTTTTACAACACCTCATTGAGAATATTGTATTCAGTTTTGGTCACTGCATCACAAAAGGCTTACAGCCTAAGAATTCAAAGAGGAGTCACAAGGATAATTCATAGTGTCAGATTAAAGGAACTAAATCTCTTCAGTCTAGACCAAAGTAGATTGAAATCAGATTTTAACCACGTGTAGAAACTCCTAAAGGGTTATAGACTGAGCAGCAAAGCAAAGACACAGGGTAACAATTGAAGACTAGAACCTTAATTTAGAATGGAGACTAAGAAAACATTTTTTTACACACAGCGTTGCGGGTTGCGGGTTGACTGAATTGTAGGTTAATTAAGCAACTAAACTAGCAAATGAACAAGATGGGTTAAAAGTTCTCTTCTCGTTTGCATCCGTCCTTAGGTCTTATACTGGTACGGAAAGTCAGTCATTGCTGACTGGTACTGGTACTGGTCCAGAAAGTCAGCATTGAAGCTGCCACAAGCAGTTTTATCTCAAGTCCTGCGCTCCTCACTGGTGATCTTGCACGACTGCTCCATCTGTTGCAGAGCCCATGTGTTTCGAATCAATGCCTGATAAAGCAGAGGCATCTCATCTCTCCCTGTGGGGTCCTTGAGACTAAATTCCCGTTAAATTCTGTCACATTTGAAGTGTTGAGCTGCTCTGTTAGAGCCTGGCCCATGAGATTGTCGAAGAAAAGTCTTCACTCAGGTTAGGTGTGGTCAAGCCCTAGGGACTCGACCCTATATATAAGGGTCGAGTCCCTTTATACATGCGCATGGGGAAGATATAATCATGCAGATCTGAGAGCAGTCTCTCATACAGATCTGTGAGTAACCTCTCCACCGAGATGATAAATGCAATGAGTTTTATACAGCAAATTCACACAGGGAAGCTCGTTCTAAGTTTCCATATTAGGAGTTGTTTTTCTCTCTACAAACATTTCTTTGTAATTGACCACATTCTTCTTAAGAAGCAGTTCTACCTTGCATATAGACAAAAGGAGGTATAAAAATAAAAGGTGTGAAATGAGCTAGACATTCTGGAGTTTGTAATAGCAGTCAAAAGGTTAAATAATATGCTTGAATTATCCTTTTATACTGTTGCTAAGCAAAAGGCATATGAGCGAATAAAAATAGTCACTATTTTATATACTTAATAAAAAAGGCAAATGCTAAAATTCTTCCTCAAGATGAACAACCTTGAGAGCAAATCTCCAAGAGCCTGTACTCAGAGGAGGTGTCGTGGAGTCCTGTAGAACAGTCCAGTCCAGGCACAGCTACAGTCTGGAAAGCAATATCAGATTTCTTTTTTTTGTTCTTCTGCTGCATTATTAAAAAGTTTTTTAAAACTCCCGTTCATGCTCCACCATTTGTTTAATTGCTTGTATTAAACAGTTAAAACAAAAGTACACATGTGACGAAATTACAGATCCAGTACTGGTTTGCCGCAGTGTAATTATATATGCACAAGTAGGGTCAGAGGTGCTGCGTATTGTGCTGAATTTACTGTTTGACCACCAGCAGTTTCACTCGCCAGTGCTGCTCACAAGAATGTGAACTCGATTAACACTTCAAATTGTTCAGAACCTTCCATTCTCTAGAACTACGTTTTGCTAAGTGCATGAAATTTGCACAGTTGTGTTCTGCTATTATATATCTTTCTTATTTTTGTGGGAGGTTTTCACTGAGTCATTAACTCCTGTTTAATCTTAATTCACTCACTTCATTGTACCTGTTGTGTGAAATTAATGTTAAAATAAGAAAGCTGTTTGCCGAGAACTGCTGCCTCACAGGTCTGTCTTTGTCAACCTCTCTGCTTTGTCCCTGTAATCTCTCAACAGCCTTTTTCTTAAAACCAGAGGACATTTAACTTCTGTGTTATATTTCTGTCCAAACTGCACTCTCCTAGTTCTTTTGTGGTAATCTAACATTTCTCATCCCCATCGTTTCACAGAACCTGAAAAATGTTACTTCCTTGCACAACTATAAATGTCAATTTGTGCCGCATTGTGTGCCCATACAGTGTGTTGTTTCAGTGTTACAATGTATTGTTACAGTATTACAGTGTATTATTACAGTGTTACAGTGTATTCTTACAATGTATTGTTAGTGTATTGTTACAGTGTGTTGTTTCAATCTAACAATGTATTGTTACAGTGTTACGGTGTATTGTTACAGTGTATGCATAAGAACTCCCCTTCACTCTGATTCTTCAAACTTGATTCTCTTTACTTAGGAATTTGTCTTACTGATAAAGCTCTGATTTCTAATGCAGCCACAGATTTATCTTGTTTGGCCTCATAAAGTCAGGAGATTCACAAGAGAAAATATGGTAGAATAAAAAAAAAACACAATGAACTACCAAGTATCTTGGAATGGAAAAAAAAAGCGTCTCTACCCCAAACCCCTGTTTAACCAGAGCTGACAAGTTTGCAAATCATGTTCAATTTGCGTCTCTTTTCCACGCATCCAGTTTCTCTCAGACGTTTTTCCTCTTTAAATGCTCACAGTTGTTTTCTGAGACACAGGAGCAAATCGGGAGCCTGAAGCTGTGAAAAGCTGCCTGCCTATCTGGTGCTTTGACTGGGAAGAGCCCCGTCGGAGGCAGAGAAGGACATGTTGTCGGCTGTGTGCAATCCAGACTCGGATGAACACTCACGTCCCCAGAACTCTTTTTTTTTCTCCTGGCACACTTTACTCTCGTGTTTTGGAAAATTCCGCCTGCCCTCTCCCGCAGCCTGGCCCCCCGACCGTCTCAGGGGCTGTGCGTGTATCCAACCCCCGGCTGAGAGCCTCCGGCTACGAGTTACCTAGAGGTGGAGCCGTCTGTGTCAGGCCTTGGGCTGGGAGTGGCGCAGGGAGATCACTTCCGCCTCCTGGTGGCCGTGCGTCTGTCTGCCGATCGGCCCTCTGGCCTCAGGGGAGGGGTGGCGGCGGCGCACTCCGAGGGGCCTGGGGCTCCCCGACACCCCTCCACCCTGCCTCTTCATGTGGGAAGCTTGGGCAGAGCTCTGGACGCCCCCAACCTCCAAGCACCCCTGCCTCTCCGTGAGGTCACAGACTGAGCCCCTCTCCTGGAACCACTTGTTTCTGAGCACTGTGTCGGGGGTCTCCGAGGGGGACGTCGATTCTCTTCCCGGAGAGGCAGAGGGGTCGGCGGAGGTTGACGAGGGCAGCTCGGGATCCTGGGGTGGGCTTCTCTGGAGAGGCCTTGGGGGTTCACTGTGTCCGCAGTCGGCCGCTGGGTTGAGGTACAGCCCCGGGGTCTCAGGCTGATCCCGGAGGCTGCTGAGGGTTCTGCTGGGCTGCTCCTCGTCCTGGGTGGGCCCTCCGCAGCTCGTCGTGCTCCTGGTCACTGTCCACCTCCTCCAGCCGCTCGGGGGCTTCGGAAATGAGCCATGCGGAGGCCTGCCAGCCGGATCAGAGGGAGGAGGCTGTGAATGCACCCTCGTTAGCCAGCTGGGGAGAAAACTGGGCCTGGGCGGTTCTGCAGGGCTCTGCTGGCTCTGGACTTTCTGGCTGGGCCTGTCCAGGCTGGGTCCCGGCCAAGTGCGGGCTTCCCGTCTGCGTCCGGGTGTGGCGGTGGCGAACACGGGGTTCCGGATGACCGGGCTGGCCAGGGGTGGAAGAGGGAAGTGGCGATGAGCAGACCATCCGGGGGGGGAGCTCTCATCGTCCTGCTGGGGCCCCCTTACCGCGGGGCAGGCCCCCCCCTCCCTCTCTTCCTCTCTGGTGTAGGGGTTCCGGATGATGAGCTCCGCCAGCGTCCCAGCGCCCTCCCGGCGCAGCAGTCTCCTCCAGCCCCCGGGGGGACCAGACCCCTCACGCTGAGCCTGCTGGGAGTCCTGGGGGCCTCCATGTCCACTTCTGCCCTCCTGCTCCTCGTGGATCAGCTCTGGCGGCCCGGCGCATTCCTCCGGTCTCTGCGGCCGCAGGCGGCCCTCTCCTCTCTTCCCACGGCTGTGGTCCTCGCGGGGATCCCGCGGGACTCCGCCCGACCCCCCAGTGTGGTCCTGACACAGACGCCCCGTCTGCTCCGGCCCCTCTGACTCCTTGAGCAGAAACCGGACCACTGCCTTGTGCCCCTCGCGAACACCGTAGGCCAGTGCCGTCCGCCCCTGCTCGTCCGAGATCCCTGGGTCAGCCCCGTGGCGGAGCAGGAGTTTCACCACGTCCAGGTACCCCCGCTCGCTGGCGAGGCTCAGCGCGGTGCGCCCGCCCTCGTCCCGCAGGTTCACATCGGCGCCCTTTGCCAGCGCGAGCCTGAGGAACAGGGTCCTGTCCGCTGGCCTGGGCAGCAGGGCGGCGCACATCAGCACTGTCCGGCCCGCGGCCCCCCCGGCCCCCCCAGCCCGCGTGTTCACAATGCTCTCTCCCCGGGCAGCGAGGATGAACCTGGCCAGCTGGACTTTCCCATCCGACATGGCCTGGAGGAGGGTCCCCGTCGCCGCGCTGTCCTCGCGGCGCGCGGCCTGGCCTGCAGCCGTGAACATGCCCCGGCGGCCGGGCTGCAGGGAAAGGACGCTGGGAAGGTGTCAGCGCAGGGTCACAGGACAGGAGTGCCGCTCGGCCGCCTGTCTGCAGCGCTTCGCGGGATCAGCGCGGATGAACGCGAGTCCCCCCTTCCATCTGCATGGCTGTTCCCTGGATCACGAATCGATCTGAGAGCTACAGCCTGGAAGGCACATCGCTCTCTGCTCTCTCTCGCCACGTGCCGGCTGGCTCCTTCTCCCCCCCCTGCCCTGGCTCTCTCCAGCTGCTGCTCCTCCCTTTGTGGTTCACGACACGACAAACAACAACAACGGCAGAAGGAACGATCCCTCTCCCTTTGTCCCCTTCTCCTCCTCCTCTCTCCTCGATCTCAGGCGGCTGCGGAGAGGTTGCTTCGCTGGGGTTGCCATGGCGACGCGTGCCGCCAGGCAGGGCGGGCTTGCAGGGGAGCCCCGGCGGACGAGGGCTTTAGCGCCGTGCCCGCCCTGGCGCGGCTGAGCCCCAGCGGCCGACACCAGGAGCCCACAGCGGTCTCAGCAGGGCCACCAGTTGTGCTCAGTTAACCCATGCAGGATCTGATTGTTTAAGGAGTTTTTTTTTTTGTGGAATTGCAGATGAGCCTTTTCTTTTATTGCGTGCCCTGGGTCCCACAGTGGCGTGGCAGGCAGTTAGCACTGCAGCCTCACCGCTGTTGGACTCTGGGGCTGGTCCTGGGTTGCTGTGGCGTCTGTGTGGAGTGTGCATGTTCCACTAGTGCTCACATGGTCTTCTTCTGGGTGTTTGGGTGTCTTCTCACCTCCAGGCATATGGATATGGATTTTTCTAAATTTGCCCTGTGCTTCCAGGATAGTCTTTGGCTTCCTATGACCCATCAAGGCAAGCAGCTCTCTGTGTGACTAGGTCGATTATACATCCTGGCAGTTTGGCACTGTCAGTTGCATTGAGACTCTGCCTTCTTTCTACGATTTCAATCGTGTGCCCTTTTTTTTCAGATATGCTTCTCTGACACACATTCACCGTTTGGCACGCTGTGAGCTCCACAGTGCCAGCAGGAGAGCTAGTCCAGGCCTGAGAAGAGGTGCCTCTCTCAGGGAGACGCCCTGCAGTTCACAGAGTCGACTGGACCGTGGCTGAACCACACCCACCCTAACCTGCCACCCTTCGGGGAAACCCTGAGCTGGCTTCCGCAGTGACCCGGCTCACACATGAAACGTCAGGGCCTTGGTCCTCAGTTTGCACTCTGTCACAGCCTTTACTGATGGAGCCTCTTAGGAGCCCACGTCATCTTTGTCTACCGCTTTTTTTGACAATGGCTAGGGAAGTAGCAGTGCATGCATGATCATAATCTCCGATCGATGCTGACATTTACCCACTGAGTGCAGTTCCTGTTGTGCAAGCAGTGTGCATCTCTAGGGGTGCTTGTCTTTTTCCTCCCTGCTTCTCTACGCTCGTACCTCTGCTCTTACTGTCATGTCTTTCACAGAAGATGACGTCTCTGCTTTCTGCCCCACAGAGTGCTGCACTGGCATCGACTGCACCTGGAATACAGTGGGATAAACTGGTCCCTTTTCAAATTGTGTTGAATTCACCATTTAAAACACTTCTCGTTTGGTGGACATCATAAATGACAATAGCTGTTTCAAACCAATGTTTTCCCAAATGTATTCTACAGTTGGTGTATCTCTGCTAAGCTCTGAAGACCTTAAAGAGATGCAAAGAAAGCAAGCCAGGGTTTGGGCTTTAGCACCACGGTTGGATAACTTGCTCCATACCTCCACAACTGTTTGCGTAAAGAAGTGCCGCCTGTTTTCTGTTTTAAATTCACTTACATATAGGTTTCCCTTGTGTCCTCAGGTTCCCTCTACAGAAATCCCCTGGGTTAACCTTACTGGTGACTTTGAGGATTTTAAACACTTAAATCAGGTTCCCTCACAGTCTTCGCTTTTCAAGACTAAAGAAATTCAGTTCTTGTTGTTCCTAAGTCTTCAGGGAAGGGAGTCTGATGGTTTTCAGTCTCTTGATAGGTGGCTGTTGAGTGTTGGGCTCTTCCACATTAAGGGCATGATGATGGTGGTTCAGTATCAGGTGGGATGTTACTGTTTGTCAGCAATCTTCATCATGGAGAGTTGCAGTGCTCCTCTGAAGACAGGAGATCAAACGGAGACAAGAAACATTGACTTTGTTTAACCTAAACACAAAAATGCATTCAGTACACAGACTGCTGTACTTGCATGCATACAGATCTGGCATGCATATGTTGGGTACTATAAATAAGATAGAATTTTATTTCGTTTTTAAGTTATCCAGCAAGGATATTTTCCAAGAAACAAAGAAAACACTTTTTTAAAAACAGGTATATGAGCATGTTTTAATATGTTTGTAGTGTTGGGGGTTAAATAAACTGAAAAAAACATTTTATTTATTGAGCTGAGCTGTAATTTCACAGATGACAGCCTCAGACTGCCATAGTTAGGCAGTCACGCTGGCTGCCCTGGGGGTTGTGTTCTGAATGCATCTGTATTGATTTCCTCATGTACAGCAGGCAGTAGCCTTTCTCTTGCCTTTGCCCAGTTATTTTCCCTTTTGTATATCCCATTACCCCTTCAGCTATTTGAAACAGCTGAAAATTAACAGTATAGCCGAGGACCCCGCCTTCAATATTCTTGTTTCACCAGCATCTCTCGATCCAAATGAGTGTTGTTGGTTTTTTTTACATTCCAAGCAAATTTGACACAACCCAGAGGAGACACAATGCAATGACATAGACGTGCATTTTAAACTGAGAACAGGAGGCCCTTCTTTATACAAAGGGTTGTGGGAGTATGAAACAAGATACCTAGCTATACTGTTGAGGCTGATACCCCCTGGCTTCTTTCAAGCAATGACTGGATGAGATCCTTGGATCAATTAGCTACTAACTCCCAAACAGGCCAGATGGGCCACTTAGCCTCCTCTTACTTCCTTATGTGAAAACTGAATTTGAAAGTGTGTTCTAATCTGTTTATGGACAACGTCCTGTCATTGAGTATGTCCTTCCCCAGCCTAATCTGGGTGGGTGACACTAAGCGTTCGGTATTTGATTGCGTTTTCACCTGGATTTGTTGTCATTTTCAAGACAGAGGAGCTTCTGCTACCATTAATAACGATTTTTGACATCCGTCTCCTTCAGTATCGTACTACTGCTGTTCCCATCTCCTGTTACCTGATATATTGAAAACCTGCAGTTGTGTTGCTTGTCATTTTCAGCAGATGCAGTCAGAGCAAATGTCTTTTTCACTTTCACTGCATTATTGAACTTTGTCTTGCCATTTTCTAGCTGAGAACTCCTACAGAAGTGACAAACTCTCTGCAGAATACATATCCTTAGCAACACACATCCTCACATAAAATAGGTTGAAGTTGGAAGCATATTAGTTTCCAAGCTATTCACATTCCAGACGATGCTAGATCCTGTTGCATATTAAATACATTCATCGAATATTCATTCAAAGATCATTTGCATTTATTTTATCCCCCTGGCAAGGGAAAACATCACACCACCCACTCAATGAAAAACTAGCTTTTCTACCAAATGAAAAACCCTTTTTAACCCTTTTAGGGGTTAGGGTTAGGGTTGTGTGTTCTACCTGTGTTTGCATGGGTTTCTGCTGGGTTCTCTGGTTCAGTGCACAGTCCAAAGACATTATGGTAAGATCTTAACCCCAGTTTAATTAAGTAGGTTTACTGGCTTCTGGTAAAATTGGCCCTGGTGCAAGTGTGGGTTGTCTGTGTGTGTGTGTCTGCCCTCCGATGGACTGGCATCCTGCCCAGGGTGTGCCCGGCCTTGTGCCCATTGACCGCAGGGATTGTCTCTGACTCCCCTGGCACCCTGTATTGGATAAAGCAGTTAGATGTAGGATGTGTGGATATCATCTTCAAGAAAACATGTTTTAGGCTCAGAACACAAAAGCCCATTCATGTAATTCACTGAATTGTGCGATGACCTTAGCAGTCAGAAGCACATAGATATTTAAAATGAGCTCCACCCCTGTGAATGTCTGGAGCTGTCGATTTGGCCTCGATTTGATTCTCATCATTTTTTTCAACACGATTGTGCAGCAGGTTTCAGACATGAAGTAATTTTAGAGCCATCTTCTTTTAAATGAATCCTGAACAGACCCCTACACACACACACAGCCAGACTCTGAGGTATGGTCTGGTTTTCCTCCAACGTGACCTTTTCTCTTCTACCGATGTCACATGATGAATATTATGTCCATGTTAGGCTCATTCGTTGCTTACTGGTGGCGTGCTTTCTAACGAAGACTTGTTAGTTTTATCACCCACGGCTCTCAAGATTTAGTTTCTCCTTAGGCAGGTACCCTTAACAACAGCAAAGCTGATTGATTTAATTCAGACACACACAATCTTGCGGTAAATATTTTTTTTCCTGGAATCCTGCAGTTGTTTTTTTTGCCCGCAGCATAAACTGCACACATTAGACTCCAACATAATACGATAAAGATCCGATCGACTTGGCAGGCAATTAACATATTGTCAATTATCTATCTCATCATCTTAGGGCGAATCCCTTTCGGCGACATAATTACATTTTACATCTTCGGAAAACAGCTTCTGGTGGAGAGTATGTTATATTTAGACTATAACAAGGAGCGAAACCGAATGCGGCAGAGGCGATTTTAAGGGTCCGTTACTGAGACAAAACTGAAGTCCGGAGACTCTGGCTCCTGTACTGTCCAGCAGTCAGTCCGCGGTTGCTAGGGGCTCAGTTCCTACGCTGGTTGCTATGGAGCTGGAGTGACTCCAATGTCCCGGATATTGCGATCCCTGTCCCAACATGGCGACGAGAAAGTGAGGTCGCGGCTGGGGATCTACGGAATAGGATATAATCAATAACAGCAGAGAGAGAAACTCGCTGGGGTTTTTCGGAGTTGCTTTAGAACGGGAGACACCAAGGAAACACCCAGGTAGGAAACGATATAAACTTCATACATTGTTTGGCTTCATATTTTATTATTTTTTGTATCTTTTGTGAAAGGGTCAGTGGAGTTCAGTCGTGGCTATCTACAGTTTCTACTTTGTCATTTGTGAAAACTTGCGGTGTGGCTCAAGAGCCAGGTCGTGTCCAAGTATCGGAGGTTGTTTTGTTTTTAAATTTTAGTGGATTATTCGCCCTTCTTTCGGCGAAAACCGAAACCGTTGACCTATTTAGGAATGTATCTGAAAATCTGTGCAAGTCCGGTCGTGGTTTGTTTTTTTCCCAATCGTTTTCAAAACAAACAAAAATCAAACCGGAGCACACCGCAAGACCTGGCTGTCGTGGTCACTCGCCCAGGTCAGGCTGCGTTTGGATCGATGTGTTGGGCAGTTCTCTGAAGTGGACCTACAGCATGGCACACTCCGCGAGTCCAAACACGATTATTATCAGCGTGACTTATCATTATGAGCTGCAGTATACGAGGAAGAAATGCAGTTTGCTCCACTTTCCGGCAGCGGATTCATGTTGGATCAATTCAACATACCGTCCTGTGTTTCGAGTCCTTTTGCAGCCATTATTGGACCATATCAAGACATCTGCTGTACTTGGGAAATGTTCATGTGATACTCCTGGGCGAGTGCTGGTCTCCACGTACACCACAGCGCGCATTTAGTGCCCGTCTTACAGCAGAAACGACTGCTGTGTGTGTATATATATGTGTGTAAATCGTATGTAATAAATACTGTCGTGCGTCGAGGTGGTACGGCGCAGTAGCCGCTGCTGATACAGAGTAATCGTGCCGCGGGGCGCCGACACCCCGTCCACTCCGGCTGGGTGGTCGTGAGCGGCGTCCCTTGTGAAAGTTGGGAGAACATGAGGGTGTGAGGCGGAGAGGGGAAACCGAGGCACAGCAAATCATGTGACTGCAAATGTGCGATATATTGGTAACGTGCAGGACTTGACACCTCCCTGTGAAGAAACCTGCCCCCCCCCCCAGAAATGCCTTTCCTTATTTCTTAGAAATGAAATCGCAGGCTCTTGGCGCATTGGTGATGGACCACCTGTTGACTCTTACATTCGGGTTTATCTTTTTAATTTCTGTGCTTCCAATTACACTGCTGCTTTTTTTTTTAATAAGTGATTGGGATCGTAATTCTAGCGCCGGTATTTTAATAAAGTGTCGCTGTTGTTGTTTGTAATTTAACGGTATCGATCGGTGCGGTCTGCATCGTGCTGGTTCCCAATAACGATTTACAATTCACTGATAAGACTCTTTGGGAGAAAGATGCCAGCGGAAACAGATATGCGTGTGTGAGGTTGTTTTGAGATCAGGATTGTTTAAGGTTTGTCTGTCAAGCCGCTCCGTGAAGCTAAGTGCTGACCTTCAAAGGTTTCATTTGATCACTTCGTGTAAAAGCGAGAAAACCGCATCACTGATGAACAAGGGAGCAGCGCAGAAATTGACAGAGGGTTCAGCAATCCCAATGAGCACATTTGCCATTATTTATCCTCTTCCTCGCCTGACATTTCCCTTCCCTGAAACACCTGTCCTTCACGTCTAAATTGCTTCTACCCCAAAATTTATTCTAAATAATCATCTGTTGTCCCAGACACAGGTAAATATTATTACCTTCTTTGTCCTTTTTCTGAAGGGCACTTTCCTGATCAGATACTCAACAGGACAGCGTGGTGGCGCCGTGGTTTGCATTGCTGGTGTCCCGGCTTTACTTCCGGACCAGGGGTGCTGCCTGTGTGGAGATGGCGTGTTCTCCTCATGCTGGCGTGTTCTCCTCATGCTGGCGTGTTCTCCTCATGCTGGGCGCTCCGGTTTCCTCCCACAATCCCAAAACATTCTGGTAGGCTAATTGGCTTCTAGCGAGGGAAAAAAAACCCCTGCGTTTGGCCTGAGATCGACTGGTGTCCCATCCAGGGGGTACCCCGCCTTTGCACCCGTTGTTTGGCCGGATAGGCACGGCTCTCCCGCGGCCGTGAATCGGAAGAAGCAGTTGGAAAATGGACGGATGGCGATATTTAACATTTGTTTTCTGAATAAAAAAAATAAAGGCTAAAGGGATATTTCGCTCTGGAACAAGACACTCTGTTATTCTCTAGTTATTCGTGTGACTGTTCCCCACATAAAAGGCAGTTAACACATGGATAGCAATGTCAGCAGTGCAACACGCTGCACTCTCAGGTTAGTGGAGGAGGTTAGTGCACTAATAAATTGTGGTCAAATAAAAGTGACCAGTACGCGAGTCACATGTGCTTTAATAATCTTCAGTAGCAATTCCTTCAGCTTCCTTTTTCTCTCAAAGTGGAAGGTCTGGCTCTGAATTGGTTTTGCATCTGGGTTTCGGATGGCACATGCCTGCTGGTTGAGAGTGGCTGAGTTAGACATGACTGCCATTCCCCTTTGGATCCATTCCTTCCTTTCCTGGAACACGGCCGGCCTCATGTCGAGAGGTCAAAGGTTATAACATTAAGATACCTAGGGCAGCTCCAGGAGGGGAGAGAGGGCATCAGGCCTTGAATGCCTGTGGTGTACTGTTCAAAACAGTACAGTGTAATATAGGATTATATACTGTAGCAGCCTTAGTTCTTCACATGGTCAACTTCAAGGCACTTTGCACAAAGCAGTAAAGGAAAAGAAGCTCAAGGAGCTGCCATTCCCCTTTGGATCCATTCCTTCCCTTCCTGGAACACGACCGGCCTCATGTCGAGAGGTCAAAGGTTATAACATTAAGATACCTAGGGTACAGTGTAATATAGGATTATATACTGTAGCACCCTTAGTTCTTCACATGGTCAACTTCAAGGCACTTTGCACAAAGCAGTAAAGGAAAAGAAGCTCAACGTGATGAGCCTTCAGTTTGGCCTTTTTAAAAAAAAAAAAGAAAGCAGGATGCAGCTGTACACTCTGATTTCAATCCGGAGGGAGTGCCGTAGATAGGGAGCTTGATAACTACTTTATGGGCTGCCCACTGTTTACTGCTGCACTCTGAAAATCCACTGAAGGCAGATCTGCCTAGACAGGGAGGTTGCCAAAATTTCTACAACGTCACAGTGTGCCCAAAGCATTCAAGAAGTGCAAAGTGGAATTTTTTAGCACTATTTAAAAAGAGGAACATAACTTTGAGAACCGTTCTCAGCCTAAACTGAAATTAAAACGAGTGCATGCTAACCAAGTACACGTATACAGGTAAGACACTGTAAAAAAAGAAATAAAAGGGCATTCTTTTCTGAGCACAATGTCCACCGCAGGAATATTCACGGTGGCATCCACGGGGCCGTGCGTACACGAGCCTGGCGTTCAAACGGCAGTTCAATTTGTTCCCCCTCTACACGCAGCACATAGCCGAGGAGTCATTAAGTTGTTCTGCTGGTCGCCTGCTGTGCTAGCGAGGAGAAATTCAATTAAAATTGCTGGTTGCTGTGACGCACTCTGCTGATTGTGAAATTGGGGAAAGAACATGACTTTTTTGTCTCTTTGGTTTTGGAGACTGGTTGGGTTTAGGAGAGCTCAAGTGTATTATTATTATTATTATTATTATTATTATTATTATTATTATTATTTTGTTTGAATGATGCTGTAATCTTGTGTTGGTGTGCAGTTTTTCTGGAGCAATCTGATTGCAGTATGTTGCTCAAGAGAACATCAGCTGTACTGCACCTGGGATTTGAACCCTCAGCCACACAGTGAGAGGTCCAGTGCTCTATGTCCCGCCTTCTGTTCACTGCTGTGTGAAAGTGTTCGCCCTGGAGTTTTTACACCCCAGATTCAGTTCTGCTGAGCAGAGGCCATAGAGATAGATTAAACTGTGCAGACGGGTATTTTGTCTTACCTACATTGAGTGATATTTCTTTCTCTGTGAAATTTTGGAAGGGCTTGGAGATCTCTAGTTATAACAGGCTTGGGCCTGCCACATTTAGAAATGTTCTCCTATATGAAAATTTGGTCATGAGATAATGGTAATTCATTGCCCAGCTTGTGACAGCACACAAGAAACATCAGTAACTGAACCTGAAAGGAAAGGCCACTTTGCTGGAAAGTTTGTTTTTGCAGAGTGAGGTGAAACACTTTGCTCCATATTCCCAGTGTTGTAAGCATGTGGTCTTCTCACTGTCCCAGCTCTTCCGGGTGCCTGAAAGAGCCACCAGAGTTTTTTTTTTTCCCCAACAGAGAAGGAGGTGAGGTGTAATGTGTTTATCTTCGCTTGCTTTCAAACTGACAACTGCAGGAGACAGCTCTCCCTGGTGTACTGTGATGTACTGTTTTTTAATAGACTATAGCTGGGTGTCGTGACAGCACAGGATAGGAAGCATGATTCCTTAGCACAGCTGCAGTGTGTGTTTCCCTTCAGTAAGAATGCACAGTAATGCACTGGTCTCCTATTTTCAGTGGTTAAGGATGGTTTCATTCATATGCCCAGATAAACTTAAAGCATAGCTGCAGAAACTGTAAATCTGCAGTAATATAGAATTGTAAATGTAGTTCAGGTGGGTAACTGCATCAGCATGCGTAGGCTGCAAAGGAGCAAGTAAAGGTTTATTCCATGCTGAAAAGAGAAGAAAGAAAACACAACGTTTCGGCCATGGAGCCTTTTCACACTTGAAGAAGGCTCCACGGCCGGAACGTTATCTTCTTTCTTCTCTTTTCAGCATGGAATTAAACCTATTGTAGAATTGTAAATACTACCAAAACCACATAAAAGTGGGCTATACACTTTCAAACAAAACCATTGCACAGTGCTTGTGCAGAATCGGTCCCAGATTTGTGCTGCAGAGGAAACAAGGTGGGGTGATGCAGTTTGTTTCAAATAAGCACCCCAGGGGCTCAGATACAGTCTTTGGGCCTGTTACCACCTGCTGCTGTGCGCAGGAACAAAGCCGCGCAGGGTTCTTCCTGTTCATTTACGGGAGCCCTAGAGCCGTGTAAACTGCTTTGCAGCAAAACGTGAGCAGGCTCGAGCGAACCTGGTGGGAAGGTGACGCCTCCGCACCATTCCCATTCCCCTTCAAAGTGCAACGTGCAACAGGAATTGGATTGTTGTGAACATAAGGAAGATGAAGAACAAGAGGACAGGATCCTTGGATCTAGCCTTCACTTAAGGAAAGCGGATTATTGGGTTCAACACCGTTGAGAAGGTAGTTCCAGACTCCCACAACCCTTTGGGTAAAGAAGCACCTCCTGTTCTGAGTTTTAAATGCACTTCTGTGTGTTTTCCACTTGTGTCTTCTGGTCCTTCTTTCACACACGTGGTTCTGAAAAAGCCCGCTGAAAAGACTTGGTCATTGGCTTTGAGGATTTCAATGTTTCTGGTCCCCTGGTTGTCATCTCTGCTTGAGACTAAAAGGTTTCAGGTCTTTTACCCTGTTAGCGTGGGGTATCCCAGAATGCATCCTGTTGCTCTTTTCTGGACTGTGCCGGAGCAGTACACGTTTGCGACATGGTGAGCAGAAGTATAGAGTATTCTTAATGAGGTCTAGCTCGTACATTGTACAATAATAACACCCATTGATATGATTGCCATGATTATACTGAACACGTCATACTCCTTGCGTCTGTCAGTTTGATCTCAATCTTTCTTTAACTTCATTTTCTGCTTCTGTAGTGTTTGCTAAACATCCTCACGTCTTCAGACTTGACTAATGTGTTAACTATATTAGAATCCCAATCCCGGATAGACGAGTAATTCAGAAATAGCAGTGGTTCTGGTACAAATGCCTGTGATATTCCACTAATCGCATCACTTGTCTGTACTCTGTTTTCTGTTAACCAAT